CTATCCTAACCTATCCATCGATTAAACCGGGTAGTCACACAGACAACTCAAAATGTCCATAACAAACAATAAGGAAACTTCGATAGCAAATTCAGAAACATCCACGCACAACAGGCCTACAACGACCAATTCTCACGTGATACACATCATAAATCCCATTATAAGGTCAGAACTCCACCCTTACCTGGATTGAAGATCGCTCCACCAAAGCTCCGACCGTAATCCTTGATTTTCTCTTCTCGACACCGGGCAGCTTGCTCCTCTTCTGCGCAGCTCTTCTGGTCAACGTGCAGAACTTCTTATTCTCCAACTAAAACAAATCCTTTTATCAGCTTAACCTTATATATCAATCCTATTGGGCCTAACCTATACACTCCCACTTTAATACTTCCAACCAATAACATAAGTCCAACACTATATATTCCCTTAATTCCAACATTATTATTATTAATCAACTAATTAATTAATTAGTAATAATTCAACAACTTATATTTATAATTCTCAACATCTCGCAACTTCGACAAATAATCCAAAAATAATTTAAATAAATAATTAATTAAATTAACGAGCGTTACAATGAGCATCTAAAGTTAACATACCCTTTGGTGTACCTGTAGTTTTGAATTTGAATGATCTTTCACTCTTCAAACGATATTCGTTCAAACATATTTTCAATTAAATCTTTTACATGTGCTTCAATCATAGTCCTGATTGTGCCTCCTGCAGAAGCATCCAAAAACATACGTGTCTGACTCCTGAGCCCTTTGATAAAATTCTGCATTTGTTCCACGTTGATCATATTGTGATTTGAACACCTGTACAATAACAATTTAAATATTTCCCAGGAATCATAAAGAGATTCAGGCTCTTGCTGCTCAAAGTTAGTTATTTCCACTCTTCTTTCAGCGAACTGCATAGTAGTGAAGAATCTTTCCATAAATTTGCCTTCCAGCTCTTTCCAAGTTCCAATGGTTCCATTAGGAAGACATATCAACCACTCTTTAGCTCTTCCAATCAACGAGAAAATAAATAGTCTCAAGTTCACTTGATCTTCTGTAACATCAATTGGCCCGAACATTGAAGTTGTTTTATAAAAGCGAGCAATATAATCCCACGGATCTCGAATTTCACTTTCATCAAATTGGTTGTCCATTAAACCTGAAAGTGAAATTTTTTTAATATTGAAGTTAGCAAGGTTAGCAATTACAAAGCCCCAAAAAATTTGTCATGCATCGGTTCTTTTGTAGTAGTCCACCATGGTTGGTGCTGGTGGATTGGTTGCCATGGTCATTTTTTCATCTATTTCGATATCCGAAGAAAAAATGTGAATTTTCCTATACTAAAGTTTCATGTGCTAGAGTGGCTTCTCTAACAGCTTTATGATTTTCCTGTGTGATTCTTTTAATTTATGGATCAAAAGGTATCAGCTCTGATCCCGAACCGCGCATACATAAATAAAATACCTTAGTAGTAGTGCGTGATAAGAAAATAAATAAAATTTAAAACAATAAAATTAAAAACCAAAGTAAAATGTTTCACAAGCATTGCCTTGTTGAAATTATCAACATTCCCCGGCAACGACACCAAAAACTTGATGACTTCTCGACAAGTGTACCGAGAATGTCAAAGTAATAAAATAAGATCGTATCCACAGAAACTGCTATTTAACAAAACCACAACTGCACAACTTTAGGAATTAAGAAATAGAGGGTTTCAAGTTTCATTGTGAAAAATAAATGTTGTTATGAAAATAATGAGAAAGCGATTAGGTTTTGCAACGAATTCCTTATTTCTTTCCTATTGATGTATAATGCATTACATGAATGATAAAGTCGTTATATGCCCACGGAAAATTAACAAGACCACTATACCCAATCCCTTGGTGTATAGCTCACTAATTCCTACTAGAGGTCTCTTATCTCTAATCCACCAACGTAAGTGAAATTAGGCAATGTTAGCGAGCGTTAATTCAAATGTCACTACTAGAGGTCTCATATCCCTATACAATCGGCGTAAGTACAATAATTTCCTTAGTTCAGACGCATAGGTTAATGTTCAGTATTCCATATACGTCTAAGATCATATTACCAGAGTATCTCAAATAATACACATTAAGCAAAAGAGGAAATTAAATAGAAATATAACTTCAATTATTCATGCAATAACAAATTAGACATATGTCCCAACAGGTTTAAAAAGTTCATCGTACAAAACCTAACCTATAAGTATTTAGATACTCATACTAATAAAAATAAATACCAAGCAATAAGATGAATATTGCAAGAGAGAATACTTGAAGATCTGGCCTTCAATGGCTTCCAATGTTATCCAAATTGCACTCTCTATACTCTTTTCCGTCACTTTTAGTCAAAATTCACAGAACTCCTAATAAGATGCCAAAATCCCCTTTTAAAATTGTCAAATAAATCCAGAACACATCAGAAAAAGCCCAGAAAAAGGACTCATCGCACACATCATGGGAACTGTCGTGCATGAGATGTTGCTCATAGTGTCTTATCACACGCGTGATTATTCCAGTAACATTTGTGTTTTTGCTCCTTTTTCCGTCTAATTTTTACCAAGTCCCTATTTCTTCGTACTTAATGATTTTTGCACCTTTCTTTGGCCTTTATGCTTCATATTTTCTCATCTTTGACTGATTTTGCTCTGATTTGTTGACGAACTACTTGTAATAGTGTCATCACTCCTCCATCTCCGATTTAGAAACTGATGAAAAGTCATCCTTCTCCTCCCTTACTGGTGTTAAGATCCTTAACGGCTCACGTGTGTCTTCAACCACCTTTAGTCTGATCAAGGTACCATTAACCTTAACATTGAAAGTCTCATTTATCAATAATGTGTATCTCGTTCTAATAAAAAACCTCACCACGTTCAATTTGGATTGTTTACTTGTATCATCATCAACACACAAAGACGCTCCAAACGATTTTGATATGAATTCAAAAAAAGTAGCACCCTAAAGATGATAAGGAAGATGAAACAAACGAATCCAAGTAACCCTTATGATTACATGTTTCTTTCATTTACATTCATATGTGGTTATATTCATGTAATTATTGCTTAAATTTGTAGACGAGGAAATAACCAAGGAGTTACGAGTGTGGATATTATGTCATGAAACACATGTTAAATATTGTCCTTGCCGGTATTGTTGATTCATGGGATAAGGTATATATGTCATAAAATGTTTGCATATATTATATATAAGTTGACTATTCAATTATTATCATGTATGATATTCACTTTTTTGCTTTTTTTATGTAGATGTTTAACGATAAAACACCATTCCATGTTGAGGACTTTATAGATCTTCGTAAGCATTGGGCATATATCCACAATGTGCTTAAGGGTCCTGCTGTTTGATTTATAGATATGTTTGATATATTTTTGAGATTGAAGATGTAAATAACATATTTTGTGTTTGATGTAAATATTACTTTTGGCTTTTAATGCAAAATATAGGCTTTTTTATGTATGATTAACAAAAATACAGATTGCTTTTAATTCTCTGACATGGTTAAAATATATACAAGTTAAAATAATACAGGTTAAAATATGGGAAATAAATTTAAAAGCAGAGAATTTCTTTTTTAAAACAGAAGAAATTTTGACAACAGTTATAACCACTAATTGTGGTTGTATATTGAACGCTGACAGAATAATATAAATTACAAAATATTGATGTTGAGAATCGAACTTGGGACCTTTAGGTCTATCACAATAGTTGAGTTAACTAACCGTTATGATATAACACATGCTTTCCAAAATACTACAACGGTTCTAGAATCGTGATTGTAAGTAATATATTTACAACAACACTCTACATAACAACACATGTACCTGCGTGATTATATGTATTTTTCAACCATTGTTAAATGAGTTTTCCGTAGTAGTGAAAGTTTTTTATAAGTATAATATTTATAAGAAAACATCAACCATATTGGACAAAATAACGTCGTCTACAAAAGTTAGCCTTGCTCGACTATTTCCGTGCGTGATACACATATTTTCTTGCTATCGGGGGTATGTGACGTCCCACATTTGGTTCAATTCTTTCATTTATTAACATTTTTCCCTTATCGACACGTGCACAACTGACTCTGAGTATGGTTGCTTGCTTCTAATCTTCTTTCGTTTAATAATGTTATAAACACAGGTCCCGCGATTTTCATAGGCATTAGTCGGCTTGCAAATTAACGTCTCTCTCATAGTTGATTGTGTTTTTACTACCTAACCTTTTTTCGGCAGAAGAAATGTCATATAATGTAAAATTGTCCATCCATTGATTCCAACTAGGAAATTATTTATTTTTTTAGATGGAAACAAATACTCCCTTCTCTCTATTTCATATTATAAATAAATTTTACTTTTTTAAATTCATTAAATAATTAATGTATTTGATCTAGATATAAATCAGATATAAAACATAAGATATGGTGTAAATAAAGATATGTCAAATTCTCAATCTAAAACATCTTATTAATATAGATTTAAGTGATTTAGTCATTGCAACTTTCTATTGTGCCATTAGAATTTAGAACACTCTAATGATTCAAAATTAAAAAAAAAGTTTTTAATATTTTAACATTATAATTTCCAATACATTGAAAATCCACAAACTTTTGTAAAAATTTATTAAAAGAGTGTCCTTTATATTTTCTTTAGCATTTCCTTTTCTTATACTTACTACTTTTATAGTAAGTTTTAGAAACAAAATTGAAAAGAGAGTATTTGAAGGATAAATTGATTGTTGTTAAACTTTTAATATACCACATGATGTCTTATATATTAAGCAATACCCATTACTAAGCTTCTTGAAAACTTTTGACTTTAGTTTATGAATGACCCATTATTTTTTTTAACAAGACGACAGAATCTAATGACTGCTTCTCTAACCTAGTGTGTTGGATGAGGAGTGAAGAACTAAACTCATTCATGAGTCAGTGTTTTTAACTAACAATTTCTGAAAGAAAAAAAAAATGGGAGATTCAAAGGTTGAAACAATTTCACGATTAGCTCAATGGAAAATCGACAACTTTGGACCTTGTTCTTACAAGAAATCCGACCCTTTCAAACTCGGAATTTGGAACTGGTAAACTAACCACATACAACGTTGTTGAATGAATTCAATTGTATACTAATGTTTGATTTTCGGGTTGTTTCATGTTCTTGTTTTGTTCAATTTCAGGTGTTTGTCTATAGAGAGAAATAGGTATTTGTATATTCATCTGTTTCCTGAACCTTCGCGTGTTTCTAAAGAACAGCCTCCTATTGCTCGCTTCATTCTTCGAGTTTCGAGTACTGCTTCCTCTTCCTCCTCCTCTCGGAGATTTTATATTTCTCCTGGTATGTTTTCTTCTTTGATCTTTTAGGAGGTAGTTCAATTGTATATTATATACACTTGTTTTGATCATTGTATGGATCAGTCATTGTATGAATTTGAATGATACCTTGTTCTTCACGTTGGTTGAGATGTCTAAAGCCTGGATCAGTTGTGGGGCTTTCCCTTATTTGTCCTCTTGGCCGGTTCAAAACGGTTACCACATTGATTGATTTAGATTCCTCCAGTGATTGGTGATGATAGTTGATATGTGTGGTGATTTTCATGGCTTCAAACTGAAGTGTCATCACTACATAAGTATTGAACGGAATCCATTTTTAGTTGTTTGATTTTCTTCATTCTTATTGTTCTTTGTTAACAATATATATGACAAAGCCTAGTGATATTCTACTCCATTTCACCCATTTTCCGTGATCGAAACATAGTGAAAAGAGGTTCCCTAGATTTCATTCTGCATCTGCATACACTGCCATGATCTTTATGATGTATTACAACACAAGGCTTGTATTTCTAGGTTCCCTAGATTTCATCGTATTCCAACAAGCTCTTAACAAACTTTGCATCATCTCACTACTCATGCAATACATCATGATTCATGATCCCGCCACACAAGATGGAGTTCCTTTATTTTATCTATTTAATCAAGACATATAACCATATAACCATCCAATTTTTGAGGCTGTTTCTGTGCATGCCTATGTCTTGTGTTGTATTCCTGTATTAGATTTTTTTCTGCTGAATCCCATCAGTTTGCTATCATAGATAGCAAAGGTGAAACAGTTTGTGAAAAATGGTTTACAGGTTCAAAGTACCAACAATAAATACAGGGTTAGTTTATGTGTCAGTACCTTAAATTTGCAACTAATAAGTTTAATATTGCTTTACCTATAGTTACTTTAAGATTGTATGATGAAATGCTGATAGAGGTTGGTGTTTTTATGTGCTTGTAATGCCACAGTTCATGAAAGGGTGCTTAGAACATGTGATGACTTTGTCTGGCCTGTAGATACTACATTCCTTGGTCGATTGATTATTGATGTTGAATTTCTTGACCTGAAGATCTATCCTCTGAATGTGAGTCTCTAATTTTTATAATCATCACTATGTGAATATGATGTAAATGGATAAATATGTGAGTCTCTTAACCTTTGATCGTTTTTTCCCCATTGGAGAGTCAGGGTGGAGAAACCAGTTCTATATGGCCATCTGACGGAAAACTGCAATCTGTTGCAACTCAAAATACTCTCCGATGTCTCTCTCGCATGCTTGACGAAGCTATACATGCTGATCTCACCATTATAACTTCAGACGGTACACTAAAGGCTCATAAGGCAGTTATGACCGCAACTTCTCCTGTGTTCGAAGCCTCATATCATGACAGCGACAATGAGAAAGAGTCATCTACAATCCACATAGAAAACATGTCTCAAGAATCCTGCACAGCCCTTCTGAGTTACATGTACGGAACAATAAAACCTGAAGACTTCTGGAAGCACAGGCTTGCATTGCTTGGAGCAGCCAAGAAATATGAAATCAGTGATTTGAAAGATGCGTGCGAGGAAAGCCTACTCGAAGATCTTAACTCGGGAAATGTTCTGGAAAGACTAAACGAGGCTTGGATGTACCAGCTGCACAAGTTGAAGAAAGGATGTTTTGCGTTCCTATTTGATTTTGGTAAGATATATGATGTTAGAGATGAAATAAATACGTTTTTTCGCCATGCAGAAAGGGAGCTAATGTTGGAGATGTTTCAAGAAGTACTTACAATTTGGAAATAGGTTATATCACTGAAATTTTATGGCACCCTTGTGTCTGCAATATGATGGATCTATGTGTATAGTCATGTTTTCAGTTTTTATGTAGATTTAGTACTGGTCTACTCTCTCAACAATCTAGCTGTTAAAATGTCAAATGAGGGAGTGCACTGTTATGTAGATAAATGGCAAAATGATTTTGTTGTAACGTATTGTATTTCATGTTTTCTAAAACTCCTACACTTATCTTAGAGTTGTTATGTAGATATGTATCTGTTTCTATTTAATTCTATTTTGCAATGGTGACATTTAAAATGACATTTAATTCTATTTTTATTTGAGAAAAAAGAGGAGAGATTTTACTGTTGGATAGCAGAAATTAAAAAGCCGTTAAAACAACTAGGAGGTCAATAGAAGGCGTCGCAATAAGTGAAAGGCCGGTAGTATCGTGACAAATAGAAGTCGGCGGTAGTATCGTCCGGCAGGGACGGAGATGCACGACGGGAATTATTTTTTTTTAAAATAATCAAGTTTTGAAGTTTTATTATCAAATTAACCAACTTTCTCCAATAATTCTCAATCTAACCATGTTTCCAAAAAAAAGTGAATTAACGCCTTCTCAATTTTTTCTTCCGGCAGATTTGATATTTCCTGCAGATTAAATCCTCAGGTAATGTCAAATCGGCAGGAAAATCCACAGATAATTGTAAAAGTTTGAAAAATATATAGGAGGCGCCAATTCAAGTGGCTTCTCCTCTTTAATTCACTTTTTTTTGGAAACATGGTTAGATTGAGAATTATTGGGGAAGGTTGGTTAGTTTGGTAATAAAACTTCAAAACTTGATTATTTTAAATAAAAAAATCGCACGACGGTGGTCTGGTAGGCATGACTCGGGCTCGACGAAGCTCTAGCAGGTGATCGATTTACAACGGCGTTCGGCCGAGTGGCAGTTTGAGTCAATCCATGTTTGTTCGAGTTCTCGGTCATCCTGACATGTTTCTTTGGTTTGTGTGATTTGGACTTCTCCGTTTTGGTCCATGAATTCGTTCGTTAATGAGTTGAGTTTTGGAATTATTATGAATATGTTGGGTTTCAGCAGTTATAAATATGTATCTCTTACATTCTTGTTATAACAACTTTTAAAACTTTAGAGCTTAAAAACAGAGAGAAGAGTTTGAGAATCCTAGTGATAATCTTGGAGAGGAAAGTGTAAATTCTTAAAAGCGTGTTCTTGAAATTTAGGAAACCCTTAAAGATATCTAAGAGGGATTGAGAAATACTTATAAACTCTTCGCGCTTATGTGATTCATATATAGGGAGAGTTAGAGATGTTGGGAAACACTTGGGTAGAATATACGGTTTGTTCTTGAGAACTTGAGTGACTATTTTCTTGTAACTCATTTGTAACATATTGTAACAACTCTTAGAAGTATAGTGAATCATGGGCTGCTCTCTCATAGAGTGGATCATTGATCGAATTGGTTAAACAAGCTATTGTATTTATTGTCTTTACTTTATCTTCTTTTATTAAATTAAATTGATGTCTTATTGCATAGAAAGTTATTTTTTGTCGAAGGACATCTATTTTGCTTGCCATTGTTCTTTGTCCCCCCAATAATTTTCTTTGTGTTATTGAACCTTTCAATTTCACAACAGGTGGCTCTCATAACGGGAAAAGAGATTTTGTTTTCAACTGAGCACCATGAGTTGTAAATGGTAGATCAACAGATTTTTTAGAGATAACTATTTTGGATTGTGTAAAGTGAACATGCAAGTAATCTTAACTCAAGAGAAGTGTATTGAAACATCAAAGCATGAGAGATCGATGCTTGCACGTCTAGCAAAAATAAAGAATACCAAAATATTGAGTAAGGTCAAAAGTACCATTATCTTGTGCCTCAGAGATAAAGTTTTAAGGAAAGTTTCTAGAGAGAAGACTGTGGTTTCAATGTGGGAATAATTAGAAACATTCTATATGACCAAGTCTTTGACTCATTAGTTGTGCCTGAAATAACAACTATACTCATTTTGAATGGTAGTGAATAAATTCATAGTGGAGCAGTGGACAAAATTTCACAAGATTACTAATGATCTTAAGAATATTAAGATGAAGATTGAAGATTGAAGATGAGGACAAAACTTTACTCTTGTTGAGCTCATTACTCAGATCTTTTAAACACTTTAAGGATGTCCTTCTTTATGGTAATGAGTGTACTGTTACTTTGGATGAAGTCCATGCGGCCATGAGATCCAAAAAAAAATTCAAATGTGGAATATTTAAAGATTGAAAATAATGGTGAAGGCTTGTGTGTCTTAAGAGGAGGAAGTGAGCGTAGATGTATGTCCAAATCAAAGAGGTTTGACAAGTCAAGGGTAAAATACTTCATTTGTCAGAAAACCGGTCACTTCATGAGGGATTGTCCTAGAAAGAAGGGAAATGATGATTCTATTCAGATTGTGATTTCCTATGATAAGGATAGTTATCAGTGTGTTGGTGCATTAATGGTGTCGAGTTTGAAGTTTGAAGAGGGTTAGATCATGGACTCAAGTTTCTCTTATCACATGTGTTAAAAAATACTCTGAGACTTTGAAGCTGGAACAACGTAGAGCAGTTCTCCTTCGTGACAATAAGACTTTAAAGGTTCGTGATATTGGTACGGTCAAACTTAAAATGTTTGATGATCGTGAATTTTTTCTTCACGACCTGAGGTATGCTCTAAAGCTCAGGAGAAATTTGTTATCCATAATCATGTTTGATGATCTAGCCTATTGCACTAGAGTTGAACATGTCGTGTTAAAGATGTTATATGGTGAAGTGATCATAGATAAAAGATCTAAAATATATGGTTTATATATTTTAGAAGGTTCCAATGTTGTTGTTCATTCATCATTAGTTATTGAAGGCTTTCATAGCAAGAACAAACCGTGTGATTTAAGGTCAAGGCATACTAGATACCTAAAGGTTGTTTAAGAGAATTTAATGAGTTTTACATAAGATAGGAGATAAAAACACAAGTGACTGCTGAGTTGTTATTGAGTTTCTTGTGTAAGGAGGATGCCAAAGTAGCTTACCTGGTTGACATATGTTCATTTACAAGAATACACTTTCAAACACTTATGGAGGTTTGACATAGGAAGAGTGTAACCTACTTTGTTTTGAAGGTTGTCAAAGTTTTGACTATTGTACAAATCAAGCTAATTCAACTTGATGGTAAAGTTGTGGATTAAGTTTCATCAATCGCGTATGCATTACTTTTATTGAGTCCCGTCAAGGGAGGAAGAGTAAAGACGCGGGGATGAAGCTTTTAGAAACTATACAGAGAAGATTCGGTTTGAGGTGAAGGTTCCTTCTATGTATACTAGTAGTAGTGAGAGAACAATTACAATGACCTTTGATTATCTTTTAACTCGTGATAAGGAGAGGAGGAGATTGTACCTTCTCAAACAAACTATTATCTTGGATTTAGGTGTTATACTTTTAATGTGACTAAAGGATTGAAAATTTCACAAACATAGACTTTTAGGGAGACACTCGAAAGCAGGTAGAGTCAAAGATGAAGCACCATACTTGTGTTGTTAGACTATTAAAATAGAAATAGGTGGTTGGGATAAAGTGGCAAGATTAAGGTTCAAGTGAGGCTTGAACTTGATAAAAAATTTAAATAAAGGTTGAATTGGAATAGAGCACCAATGTGGTTGATGGGTAAATTGACATCGCCACAGTTTCAAGTCAAGGTGGGAGTTGTTGATATGGAGCTTTGTTTTGTAGGTAATAGATCTTTAATAAAGATTAGCATTTGAAGTTTTGATGACAAAAACGCATGAAGATCTATATGCTCTTATACAAGAGGACTCAATATAAAAGTGTCTATACAATCAGATACTAGCAAGAAGTCATGTAGCCTCTTTGAAGAAAGATCAGATACTAGCAAGAAGTTTTGAAATCTCTTTGAAGAAAAATGTGAAAGCTCTCCAGGTCTTGTTTGTCGGTCTGTCTGAGTGAACTGAGTACTGTAAAAATAAGGTAGTAGCCTAAAAATACTAAGAAAACTCATGTAACACCCTTCTAAACCCCAACGAATAATTTATGAATAATTTAATTGATAAATCACACAACGCAACAACAAGGGTGTCACATGCTTCATAAATAAACATCTTGCTCCATAACACGACTTTTCAACAGTTATAATCATTTCATTTTGAAATATGAACACATAATTTAAATAATACGCAACGGAAAATCATAGTCTCATCAACTTCATTTATTTAATCCATCGAACCATCATCATCCTCAACATCAAATTTATTATGATATTGAAATAACTTAAACAAAATAAAACAACTCATAAAGTCATGTAAAAAAAAAGATTATAAGGTTCAATCCAAACGTTCCCAACCCCGATGTTACATATCAGAGCAAGACCTTCTAATAAACAAAAAACAAAATAAATAACTTCAAAACTATCATTGATGCTTCTTCGAGTTATTCCTGAGAATCTGCACATTACCCACGTGGAGGAAACATTCAAACAGAAAGGGTGATTAATCACATTTATTACAAAAGATATACGGAAATAGACATATTAGTTTAAGTAACATCATTATGCAATCCATAATACCCTCATACTTCTTACAGTATGCCCATACTTTCATATCATCCTAACATAGGTACACCTTTATTACAACTCATCTAAACATCAAGTAAAATCACAAATTATCATCATATGTGTTACTTAAGTCACATTTCATCTGAACATTATTTAGTCAATAATCATTCATTAAGAATCATTCACATCACAACAATAATCAAAACATCATTTAATCAACGATCATGTATTATCACATAAAGTGTAATGCAACAACATTGACTCATGCATGTGGTACAAATATTTATGAGCACATGGCGCATCATCCTCCAAAGATCCCCATCATAAGATCGATACACTCTTGGAACTGGAGCACAACATCAAACATACTCAATCCACACAATGAGATTGAGACCAATATGAGACCAACGTTCAAA